TGATTTATTTTTGTGCCTCTCCCTTAATTTGCGTTATGAGGAGGAATTTGGGAAAGAGGAAAGGTTTGGGGTGGGGGGGATAAATATAATATCTAAGATCCGTCGTCACAAAAGAGTTAAATAGCATGTGACTAAATCATGGGACTGTTTTAATAAATTAATACTTGAGTTAATCAATAATAGTAACAGTTGTTATAAGCATAATTAATTCATCATGGAAAATGATGAATTGACTAGCTAATATCGATGCATTAAGGAAAAGCTATCTTATTCTACTCACAAGTATTTAAGTACAAATTACTGGCATTTCATTTCCAAAGTGGCCATGGAGCCTTCTGTATTTTGGAGAAACTCCAAGAATTCAGTTCAATTCAATAAGCGTTAATTTTAGCACCTATAATGGGGTGGGTACAGAAAAAGGAGGCTGTGCCAGGCACTTTGTATAAAAAGCAAATAAAATAGTTCTTACCCTCAGAAAGCTTACATTCTCCTCAGGGAGAACATGTTCACTGAGAAGGAAATTCAAATATGCACATGTATATGTATATGTATATATATATATATATATATGTATAGATGTACACATATGTACATATACCTATACACACACAGGAGTTTGGGGGTAGGAGGAAACAGACAGAAGATGTGGTATTTGCAGTGAGTCTTAAAGAACTAAGGATTTCAAGAGATGGAGGTGAAGAAGGAAGGCATTCTGATCATTGGAGACACCCTGTGCAGAGGCATGAACAAAAGATATAGAATGTCCCGTATGAAGAACAAGAATGAGGCCAATTTGTCTAGAACACAGAAGGCTTGAGGGGCATAATGTGAAATCAACTTAGAACAGGGGTTTTAAACTTTTTTGTATCATGAACCTCTTCTGAAAATCATATTTTTAAATGAATAAAACAAAATACCTAGGACTAGAAGGGTAACTCACTACCAATCAATCAGTCAATCAACAAACATTTATTACATGCCTATTATGTGCCAGGCACTGTGCTAAGTGCCTAGAGATACAAAAAGAGGAAAAAGACAGTCCCCGTCCTCAAGGAACTTACAATGTAATAGAATCTAACTATATTGAAATATAATCTATACACAGGAATCGTGTGTAATCTAACAGACTATAATAATTACAACAATTTTGAAGTAGTGATAAACATAATGATATTTTGAGGTATCTGTAACAACTGTACTATGGGATAAAAATATCTTTGATTCTTATTGGTGAAAAAATTATAACTACTACTAATCCTCCTGTGATTTGTTTGCTACATTCATAATCGAAGGAAAGGCTAAATTTTAGTCAAAAGTTTGTGAAAATAAAGATGTAATATTCACCCCACACCCCATGTGCTAGCTCTTCTTAAGCAAGGAGAAATAAAAATATCAGACCTATGCTTTAGAATGATCAATTTGGCCATGGTATGAAGGGTAAATTAGAAACTGAAGCCAAGGAAACCATCTGTGAGTCTAGTGCAGTGGTTTTGATGGGAGGGTCTAAATGTGAGTAGAGAGAAGGAGATATCTGTGAGGAGTGAACATGGAATTCACCAGACTTAGCCACTGGTTGGCTTTGGGGGAAGAGGGAGAGTAAAGAGCTGAGGATGATACTGGGGTTGGAATTATAACTTAATGGGCGGATGGGTGGATGAGTGGATGGATGGATAGATGGATGGATGGATGGATGGAAGGATGTGTGGATGGATGGATGGATGGATGGATGGATGGATGGATGGATGGATGGATGGATGGAAGGATGGGTGGATGGATGGATGGATGGATGGATGGATGGATGGATGGGATGGATGGAGGGATAGATGGTGATGTCCTCCAAAGAATCAGGGAAGTTGGTAAGAGGAAGAGGGTTTTGAGTTGCATATCAGAAATTCTCTTACACAATAAAAACATACTTTTATTTGAGGGGAGGTTATTTTCCCCCTTTTATCATTAACCAGTTGGGGGAATGCTTGCTATGTCTTTGGCCTCTTCATATACCACCACCGGTCTCTTCAGGGGTTGAAGACACAGTTCTCTTCTTCAGGAAGATAGACCTTGTGTTCTAGTGACAGACTGGATTTGGAGGCCTGGAGGACCTGGATTTGTATACCAGCTCAGCCACTTAATGGCCTTTTGGCTTTGGGTACCTTCGGGCCTCAGTTTCCTCATCTATAGAATAAAAGGGTTGAATCAGACAACCTCCCAATCTGTCATCAGACTAGAAGAATTAGAGATTTTTAAGACCAGAAGAGGATTCTAGGGGTCTATGTTGTGTTCTTATAGTGATGGAAGCAGAACCATTGGAGGTACTCCATTTTGAAATCCCCCCTTCCCTCAGGGAAGGAAGCTTCCTCAACATCTTCTTTGTGATGTCTTCTAGTATGGAAACCTTACAGTGTTGGGATAGTTCAACTTAAGTTCTTCCTAGTGCATTTCAGACACAGCTGCTTATTATCACAGCCCTTATCATAAGGCATTGTTAAGTCCATTATTTAAAATAAGTGGACCTCTATCCCACGGAACTTGGTTGGGATGGGGAAGGGATCGTTAAAATGGAATTTGGAGTTACAGATTGTGTGTCCTAACTTAGAAATGGATGGCATCCTGGGGTATCTTTAAAACTATCTTAAGGAGAGTATGTTAAATGTTGGGCACCGTCCTTTCCACGCTGGGGCAGCTGGGGAAGGGGCACCTCTCATCCTAGAAGTTTCTTCATTCTCAAAATGGTGATGAAGCATCTGCATCATCTCCTTTATAATATCAAGGGACATTATGGGAAGTGTTGCCATGGGTCTTTAGAAAGGGATCTTGGACAAGAGGATGCTTCAACCCTGCAAAGTGATCTTTGGAACTTTTCCGAGGGGAGCAGTGTTGCTGCCTGGGGTACAGCGGTATTCTGCTACCTTCCCCCCAGACTTACCTTTACATTTTACATTTTTTCCCCTTTTTTAGGCAATTGGGGTTAAGTGACTTGCCCAGGGTCACACAGCTAGTTAAGTGTCAAGTGTTTGGTCTGAGGTCGGATTTGAACTCTGGTCCTCCTGAATCCAGGGCCGGTGCTCTATCCACAGCCACCTAGGTGCCCCCCCCACTTACTTTTAAAGGCTCCAGATGCCAGAATGCCTTGAGTGATAGGAGCATGGCTCCTCGGTTCACCCCACCCTCCCAAGGGATGGAAAGAATGGGAGAGAAGGCTGTCTTTGACATTTATCTACTGGATATTTCATTCCTTGGCACGTTGAATCCATTAGGCAATTTGAGGACATTGGCCACCAGGTGAATCTGGTCTTTCTATCACCTTCTTTGTCTGGAGTGGATGGAGTTATTTATAAATACATCCGTCCTGAACTCGCCTTAGGTCATCAGCACCCCCACCCCGCCCCACATACAATTGTTATTGTTGCCGGTTATGTCTTTTTTTTTTTTTTAAGGAGTGAGAAGAGATCATGGTAGCAATATCACAGAAGGGTCCTTTCAAAACAAAACACAAACAAAAACCCATGCCTACGCCTCCAAACCAAAGTTCAGACTTAGCTGCCGTCCCCCAAATGTCTAATTTGTATCTTTAATTTTAAAGGTTTGCTCGTGCGAACAAACGTCATTTGGGGCATGACCGGGGTCATGCGGTGAATTTTGACTTCGAGTAAGAACGAATGCCTTTGAATTGAGAATCAGGGGATGCCTGATTTCAGTCCCTCTAGGTTTAGTACTGTGGCCACTTCACTGCTTTGGGCCTCAGTTTTCTTCCCTGTAAAATGAAGAGATTGGAATTATGCTTTATGCAAGAAAAAGAGTTCCGGATTTGAGCTCAGAAGGTCTGAGTTCAAATCCACTAACTGCCTGCCTGGACAACCTCGCCCAAGCCAATTAATCTCCCCCAGATTTCTTTCTTTCGCTCATAAAATGAATTGTAGCTGCGTCCATGGTGCAGTGGAAAGAATACTGCATTTGGAGTCAGAAGATGTGGGTTCAAATCCTGTCTTTGTCCCTTACAACCTGGCTCTGTGACTTTGTGCAAATCAATCTATTTAGCTCTCTGGATCTCCCTGTCCTCACAGGGTAAAATGCATTCCACAATCCGTGCGGGGCTCTTCCCCTGCGGCGATTAGCACCCTGCCTGGCACTCAGGAGGTGCTTAATAAGTGCTTATTCATGGATTGACTTTTCCTCTCCCTCTCCTCTCCAGCTCTATGACCGGTTAGTGAGACGCTGACCCTGGGTCAGAATTCTGCAGCATCCCCTGCCTCCTGCGGCCCCGGAGGCATCTCGGAATGAATGAATACGCGCAGTGTGCGTTTTCATCCCAGAGGGGCTCCAAGGGGACTGTCAGATGCCTAGAAGGAACGAAAAAAGGGGGAGATTGTGCGTGTAGATCCCATTTTCCAATCGTATGGGGACTGCGGCTCTCTCAGGGAGTGGGGAAATGCATAAGTTGCAAGGAATTTAGCCGACAGAGGGGCGCACGCAGGGGGGAGGGAAGGGAGAGAGAGAGAGAGAGAGAGAGAGAGAGAGAGAGAGAGAGAGAGAGAGAGAGAGAGAGAGAGAGAGAGAGAGAGAGAGAGAGAGAGAGAGAGAGAGAGAGAGAGAGAGAGAGAGGAGGAAAAACACATATGAAAGACAAAAAAAACAAATAAAAAGGGAGGGACTTGTCTTTGCCCAAACATTAGCCAGAGGCAGTCTTTTCGCGGTTTCCCTTTCCATTTAAAAAAAAAAAAGCAAACTGGCAAGGCGGGAGGGGGCAGGGGGTGGAGAAAGGACAGTAGTTGTTGCATTGTTTTTGAAGGTGAGGGGTGGGCAGGAGCCTCCCGCCCGTGGCAGCCTGCAGCCCGGCTGGCTGCTTTTGCAAGGCTGCAGGGCGATTTTAAGCTGTGTGAGAATCCTGGGAGTTGGTGATGTCAGACTAGTTGGGTCATTTGAAGGTTAGCAGCCTGGGAAGGGTTCATAGAAAGTTCACTCGCATATATTAGGCAATCCAATCTTTCATTCTGGGTGACACAAGGAGTAGGAAGTGAGCTGTTCAGAAGCAGAAGGATCTATTCTTTGCAGAAGGGGGGGACCCGAGGTTCCCCCATCCGAGGCGCTGGAGGACCGGGACTCCGGGGACCGGGACCGCCTGGTCCAGAGCTCCGCAAGCAGCCTCCGCTGGGGAGCCTGCGTGGATCCGGGGGGGTTTCTGGGGGCGTTTCCCCGGACCTGACCCTAGGCATTGGCCCCGATCCCCCCCGCCCTGCTGGATTGGCTGAGCAGCCTGGAAAATGGTAAATGACCATTCGGATCAATTACAGGCTTTTAGCGGTGTTGTCTGTCATAATTCATGATTCGGGTCTGGGAAAAGGACCAGCAGCCCAGCGTGCCAAGAAAGGGGCAGAGTTGGATGGAGTTGGGTGGACTTCTCCCGTGCCTCCTGCCTCTCCACCCCTAGAGGATAAAGCACTTTTGCAGACATTCAGTAGAGAGAGGGGAGAGACCATGTTTGACTGTATGGATGTTCTCGCAGTGAGCCCTGGGCAAATCCTGGACTTCTATACTGCGAGCCCGTCTTCTTGCATGCTCCAGGAGAAAGCCCTCAAAGCATGCTTCAGTGGATTGACACAATCCGAGTGGCAGCGCCGGCACACTGCTCAATGTAGGTCCCATGCTTTTCTCTGTGTGTGTGCGTGCCTGTGTGTATGTGTTTCTCCAGGTGTGTGGGTGTAAGTGCCCCCCCCAAACACCCGGCCCCCTTTCCTCCTTGCATGCAATAAAGATGTAATTGCTAGGACAAAGGGCTGGCTTATTTAATACTGGCTGGAGGAGCGATGTGCCCTCAGCAGAAAATACCCTGAACAATGTTTTTAGTCCCCTCCGCGTCCTGTGTCCCCATCCAGACTTCGCAGGGGGAAAAAGAGTTTCAGGTCTGTGCAAAGAGAGGGGAGGAAAAACAGATAGGAGTTTGGATTTGGACAGACTGACACGTTCTCTCCCTGCAGTTCTGAACTCAGAAGTAGATGGAGAGACAGACAGACAGCGCTAAGTTTTCCAGTCTTGGGGAATGGCCCAAGAGAATGCAGAGTAATCCAAGTAGCATTTGTCCCTCTCCCTGGCAAGGGACTGGACTCTGATCTGGGAGTTCATGGAAAGCGAGCTCCCTGGGACTGTCCCCCCCCCCCCTTCTGTTTGCCTTTGCTTGGAAAAGGCAATATTTCTTAGCCCTGACCTTACTGCCAACTTTCTGATTCACTTTGTTGCTCTAAGAAGTCGCTGTTTTGCTAGAAAACTCCCGGCCACGAACACCCCTTGTGTTAGGTCATCAATTATTTCCATATCTGGAGCTTCAGGCGGGGGGGATGGAAAGGAGTTGAGATGGAGGGGGAGGAAACCCTTGTGCCTGGTAGCTAAGTTAAAAAAAAATGCATGTATTGACTATTTGGTTATCTGATGCTGACATTGGCGAGGCTGAGGCTCCCAGTAGCGGGCTTAGCAGCCCGGCCTGGAGCTTGAGAAATGACCAGGAGGACGGGGATCTCCCACCTCCGAGCCCCTGCCACTGCGAGCCCGCAGGATGCTTCACCGCCTTGACACTGATTGAGATCGACGACTGAGTTATCTGTCATAAGGTGTTTTTTAGCGCTTTCCTTAACCTTCGTTTAGAGCCTTAGCCTGGAGATCCAGATCCGCGTTTCCAACCTGCATTTTTCAAGGGGGTCAAAGTTCAGCTGGAAGAGGATTTAGTTGGCTCTCGGGTGGCTTTGAAAAAATATCCGAGGTTTAAACTTCGTCCTGAACTTTTCTCCTCTCCATGGTCAGGCTGGGACTTGGCCCCAGGGAATCACTGGAGTGGGATGGGTAAAAAGCTGGAACCACTGCGTGCCCGCAGCCCTGCTCTTTCGTATTCCTCCCCCCCAGCCCTGGGAAGAAGGCTTTGCCACCCGCAGCCTTTGAGAGGTTGGTTTGTCCTCCTGGAGCTGCTGTTTCAGAAGAAATGCATCTTCTTTTGTGACGGGCATTCTCCCTCCCTGGGAACTGCGAGCTTTGCAAGATCGCGTTCTAAACCCTGCTCCCCCCCGGTCTTAGAATTGGCCTCTCATTGCCAGCGAAAACCCAGTTAGCAGTTCCAGGAGCCCGCCCTGGGAATCCTTGAAACTTTATTATTTTATTATTATTATTATTATATTATTATTATATTAAATTTCTAAGAGCTCCCCGATGCAAACAATTTCTCTGCTGGGGAATTTGGAGAGGGGGGACAAATCTACACAGAAGACACCCTCAGGAAGTTAGGAGACCCAATAAAGCTTTTACTGAGAGTTTTTCCTGTTTTGTAATTGACCCCAAACATGCCTATTAAGTTGCAGGAGGAGGGAAAAATGCAATTTGTTTGCTTTTGCCCAAGTTAAACATAGGATTTGCCTTATCTGAGGAGAGCTATTGGTAAATGTGTCATTCGCCCAGGGCCAGAAGATAAGAGGGGAGTGTTGATAACAGCAAAGTTCAGCTAATCAAAGAAGCTTGCATTAGGAAGAGTAAATAAAGAAATTGGACAAAGGGATCTCAGGAATTTCAGTGTCTTTCCCCTCCCCCCACTTTTTTTTTTTTTGCAAGCCATCAGATCAACCCTCCGGGATGGTGAGCGTCCCGGCTTGAGCCCCAACTTAACCTGAGTGGGGAAAAAAAAGGACCTCGAAAATATTAGCTGAGCTCTACAAATTTTCTTATCGTCCCAAGGCTCCATCTTACAGTTTGCAAAGCTGATAGGGCAGATAGTCTTAAAAAATGTTGAAGATAGCGTCCTAATAAGTGTGCCCTGGTCCCATTTGTAACCACAGCACCAATGCTATCGACGCAAGACTTATCAAAATAGCATCTGGGTTATAGTGAATGTGAAGTAAGCTTGGCTTAACTGCAGTCTCTTCCCCCTTCCCTTTTCCTTTTTGTTTTATGAATGCCCAGACCAAAGAGAAATTACATTTTTTTAAATGAACGGTTTGGGCTCTTCCGACAAAGGAAGTGCAGGGTAGAATTTTCCTCTTGCAAATTCTGGGGACAACAAGGCTAAAATTCTAAAAGCAATTTGAGGCTCAGACCGCAGTGATTCCTTTGTAGGGTGTTAGGTTTGTTTGTTTGTTTTTCCGCTCCCAAGTTATTAAAATCAAACTTTAAAGGACAGCAAAGACCCTAAGTTAACTTCTTAGATATTGCCTTCCCTTCTTTCCCTCCTCTCCCCTCCTTTTTTTTTTTTTTAAGACAGAAAAATGATACGCGGGACAGCTGTTGGCTCAGGGCCTCCGAATTGCCCCGGTGGAAAAATGCAGAGTCCGGCTTAGGTGGATACTGTGGAAATGAAAGCTCCAGGCAGACAGTGCCTTCTGAAATACCCTGGAAGGAGGGTCCTGTCCTGCCCACTGGCAAAGTTGCCAGGTTTCTCTTCCTATGCCTTATGGAATGGTCTTGGGGACTGATTGCCCCAGATGTTTGCTGCGTTAATTCTATTGTTCAGTGCCCAGAATGTGAATCCTGAAATCTTGTAGATTTAGGTATGGTTAGCTTCAGTGAAGTCAAACTGAAATAACTGCTTGGGACATTTTCCTTGTTAGTTTCACAACCATAAAATATGAAGACAATTTTTTTTAACCTGGTTAAAAAAAGCATTAATAGATTTTTTTACTTGGCATGAGAATTTTGCAACTTGAAGGGGAAGGATTTTCTATTTAAAGGACATACTAGGGGTGAGTCATAGGATAAGAAGAGACCTTTCCCCCCATAATTGTGACCTAAATTCTAAGCATTAAAAGTGTCCAAACCTTGTCCCTGGTAGATAGAAAATGGGGTCAAAGTAGCCGAATTGGAAAGTGCCCAGGCTGACAGCTAGCTTCCCTCCCAGTTGCAGTTTTGAATAGAACACTTCTCAGAAAAGGCTCCGCTCTTATTTTAAAGTGGGCTATAATTTTCTGCTTCTCAGCAACATGAGGGTAGTAAGTTATACCATCAGAAATAGGAGAAGACGAAAAGGGACTTTAGCTGAAACCTGAAAGACAGCCCAGGCAAGGGAGCGTTTAGAAACCAAGGCAGAAGGGAGGTTCTGCTCGACAAGCTAGTGAAGTTTTCTTTTCCTGTTGGGGATTTAAACAGGAAAAAAAAAAAGACATAGGTTAATAAATGTAAACAGTTACATAAATTGATCCCCCGGCAGGTTTTATTGATCTGCAGTTTTGGTAGAAAAACTGTTCCTAACTTTATTGTTTTGCATGAGGCCAGTAGAAATACAGGATTCTTTTAGGAGAAAAAAATGGGAGAAACAGAGATTTCCACTGAGCCTCGGATTTCCATTGGCACCGGACTCTTGGATTGATTTGGAACTCCAAGATCTGGTGCTTGCAGAACCAGCTTATATGGGACTCAGGCCTTCTGGCCTGTTAACAGAGATAGTACTTCTGATGAGCTGCCTGGAATGGTCAAAACTTGGGGGTTCCATTTCTCTCCATAAATGAACCATCCCATTTTCTTCCTAATTGGGACATTTTTCCCTTTTCTTTTAAGATTACCTGAGCAATATCTCCATTCATTTTTCCTAGTAAATAAGGAGGTCTAAGAGGGGGGATTTGTTTTTATATATTATATTTCTCTTCTGGGTAATCACAATTCCTCGTATTCAAGTCCTGGGGATACTGAGGAACAGGAAATAACAAGTCATTGTGTTTCTTTCTTCCTTTGCCTTCCTCACCTTCCCATACTGCCACAACAAAATGATGAAGTTGGGGCAGCTAGGTGGCTCAGTGGATAGAGTTCTGGCTTTGGAGTCAGGAGGACCTGAGTTCAGATCTGGCCTCGGACACTTGACACTAGCTGTGTGACCCTGGGCAAGTCACTTAACCCAAAAAGCAAAAAAAAAAAAATGATGAAGTTGAAATACCATGGTATTTGGAGCAGAGGACCTGAGTTCAGATTCTGCTTCTGCTATTATCTATGTGACCTCGGCCAAGAGGATTCACCTGTCTGGGTTTTAGGTTCCTCATCCAGGAAAAGAAGGCTGCTATACCCGATGATGTTACTGTGTGACCATTCACTCATCCTCTCTGAGTCTAGATTTCTTTTTCTATTAAAAAAAAAAAGAGGGATCTGGGCTAAATTGCCTCCAAGGTCCTTTTCAGATTCCAGATCTGTGATGCTATGAATTTGCTACCTCTGTGTCCTTGAGCAAATTACTTTAAACTCATCTTTAAAATAAGTGGGATGTCCTCCAGCTCCCGATCTGTGATCCTGTGATTTCTAATCATCCCTTAGAGTTCTGATCTCTGAGCCTGTCCTTTTCCCCATTCACGTCTCCCTTCAACACTTATGGAATGTGCACTGGCTCCAAGACCCTCTGGGAAGAGCTCACAGCACAGATGTCTAATATAGCATTCCTGCCTGACCTCCTGGAGTTTGCTTTTTTTTAAATCAGGTTTCAATTCAGAAGGAAGAAAGGAAGAAAAAAATGGAATTTTGGATGGAGAATCTGAATTCCTAATTAGGAAATTGCTATTATTTAGAAGGAAGTTGAATTTACTAAAAAGTATCTATAAAACCCAGTTAGAAAATGGAGAAACTGGTTCAGGTTATTAAAACCTTCTTCACCATGGGCATGTACATGTGTGTGTGTGTGTGTGT